ATTCCAGTGAACGGACTTAATTAACCGAAGCGACATTTCAGAGCAAAATTCCCAGGCTTGTGGTCGATAAAAAAGAGCACATTCTCGACGGGATGTGTGGCGTGGCAAGCTATATTTTCACGAATTAGACGCAAGCCTTCCAAACTGATGACCATAAAAATCGGGCCACGAATTATATATGCTGAAACATGTAATGCTGTGATGTTCTTTTTTTTCCAATTTAGACAAGAAGCCTTCAAGAAGTTTTTCCACCACTTGGACACCGACAAATCAGGCACCCTGAGTATGACGGAAGTGCTGCAGGCAATCGAAGAATTCGGGATAACAGCACCAAAGAAGTATGCACAAGAGATGTTTGATCAGGTGGACACCAACGGGGATGGGGAGATCGATATCAAGGAGTTTCTCATCTTCGTCAATTCCGTACGAGAGGTGGAATAGTTGGATGCCTTTGCAACTTGCGCAACTGCCCGAGAAGTCGTAATCTGCCTACATTTGACTTGAATAATTAATCTATCTGAGCACACTGTTATTGAAAATGTTGGCTTTTTTCTGTGTCACCAGAGGCAGGGAAAAAAGAAACATTTTTTTTTATAAAAGATTGAAAATGCTCTAATTGAGTTAAATGAGCGGAATGTCTATGCAAATTCTACTGGAAGGTAATACAAAAGAAGCAGGAGGACTGCATTTTTCGTTACGATTAGCAAGCTGGCCCTCGAAGTAAACCGTTAAGTACTTTTATGTCGCTTGAAGAGATTGGAACTGAGGAGGATTTTGCTAAAATCCTCAACAGCTAACGATAAGAATTGCATTATCAAGTCTCTCGGCCCATGATCGATGTGTCGCCATTTGGGCGATCAGAGGTCAACATCTCTGAGACAAAGCTAACATGGGAAGCCCATGGAAACCTTTTACGGCATGTAAGATAGTACTGGTTAAGTTGATTAAATTAGGACTCCTGAGTGAGACTGACAGCACTGATTTGACTTTTCTACAGTGAGTTTTTAGCATAAAAGGATAAATTAAAGTGGCGATGAAGCGATATGAATAGATTTTGGGGCAGAGACCCATGTTCCTGACCTACCTTGACTTTCAGCATCGTCAGCGACTTAGAACAGTGACAACAGTGAATTAGGGAGCGTTTCTCGAGTAAGGATGACTTGTGTGGTCGCCTCGACAGGGCATGTGAAGAGGAACCGCCGAAAATGCGCATGATCTTATGCCACATTTCAGGCAAATTAGATTAAGACTGAGGTTAGGGGTTAAGTTTGACGTTAATTTTAAGGTGGAGATGAATGTCAGAGATCAGGTTAGAGTCAGGAATAGGTTAAGGCTTAAGGTTAGGGTTTGTGTTACTTGCAGGGTTTATGTTTAGGGTAGGCTAGGGCTAAGGTTAGGGGTTAAGTTTAGTTTTACATCAGACTTGGTGTAAGGATTAAGACACGAGAATAGTTGCCTTTCCTGATATTTATCGCAAGGCCACCTGTGTTAGGTTTGCCAGACGCTCGTGTTTCCGTGTCCTGTTAGGGCGGCCATACATACTGTTTCCAGGAAAAGACAATGTTGGGTGAACG